AGAGTAAATACGAAAGTAATAGCCTCACCTTTTTAAAATGTACAAGTAACATTTGACTAGTGCGTATTGGCACCGTCCATTCTAGCGATATCATTCAAGCGATATTAATGAATAACCTGTCGAAATACAGTTTTCTACCGTTGTTGAGTCTTTAATACTATGCGATGTCGAATTGAATACTATTGATAGAGACAATGTTCAGCTCTGTATCGAGATACAATCGCGTTTAACATATGATCAACTCACGATTTGATCCTATCGTCAATTAACGTACATGTATCAGAATAGTAAGAACCGGAAATGAAGATTGTTTGTCTTGACCTTGTTGAATAAGCAGAATTTTGTGAGTATCATTTTAGAAATTTTAACTTTTTTCTTTTAGCACTTTTTCTAGATGCTCTGTTAAGAATACCAAAGATGGTGAACTCAAGTGTCCGTCGAAAATACATCAATGGAAAATTTGATGAAATTTATTTATTGAGAATTGGAATATGGAGATCCTGTATATTCGGAAGTAACGTAGTTGATTACCTTGTACATTATTCTAAGTGATGCCATTTTTCTCTCTTTTAATCTTGTTTTCTTTTGTAGGCCATTATAGATAGATATCGACAGCAAAAAAGTGAGAAAAGATTTTAGTTTGTCAAATTGGTCTATAGTATACCTATATAGCTAGCTAGCACTTCAAACCAGGTTATTTACCATCAGGCGATATACCTGGTGAACACGACACGTTACTAGATATACCTGGCTAACTCAATAAAAGTAGTGCAGATAGCTGACTACCACAAGTCTATATTGCCCCGATAGCATAATTTTACTCAATGGCGTTTTTTAGCTTGGAAAGAATTAAAATGACCGGTTCGTGATCAGTTTACACTACTAAGATTTACATGTATTTGTTTTTTCGACTATATCGATATAGTATAATAACAAATAATGGTATGAAGTCGTGAAAGAGTTGAAGAGATTACTGTCAATATTCCGTTTTGTGTTACTAGAAAGTGATGCAGTTTGAAGGTAAAGTAAATTTTGGTTGATATAATCCTGCCTTTAGTTTGTCATCTGAATAAAATTTCAAAACATCTTGATATTTTTAATTTCAAATGTATCTGCAAAAATATCGATTTGGACTCAACTCAATAAATGTTGTTGGTTTTTCCATAATCACTATTTTGTTTTGCTAAGTCACGTAGTATATGGTGATCATTAATTCCTCAAAAAATTTCAAAGGTATTTTCATAGGTCATGGGTAATGTCTCAGAGATTTCTGTGCTGAACAAGAGATATCTAGCGAAATTCTGAGTCTGATGGTTACACTGGAGGGTATCCAGAAAACTTTCCGGGTTTCTACTGATTTTTGTGCAGTTTGGACGATTAGCGAGCAGCACACCTAATTTTTACATATATACAACAAGCTCGCGGTCTTGATTTAATTCACTGATTAAGAAAAAACTGGTCCTGACCAGGAAAATAGGCAAGGACTTTTTACTTATAGATATCTGGTCACTGGCCTGACCAGACAAACTGGATATCCTCTAGGGTAGGTATATGATGTATTTGTATTGACTATGGAATTATTGCCGCATTACAGGGTCAAATATTATGTATTTTCATGTCCATGGATGCCACTTCATACGTTATTTTATCGTTTTTTAAAACAACTGAACAAGAACAAGCATTAACTATACAAATTTTTATTGAATGAAAAACATTTTCTTGAAATAATATGGGAGAAGCGTCTCTTGAAGTTTCTTTCCGAACAAAATCCATTTCTTTTTGAAATATGTCTTATCACTGTTTCACACTTATGTAATTATTGAATAATAGACCTTAGTACATTGCACTCTTGCATAATAGCCCGTTTCAACGCACGTGTCAAAATTGTATCTCAGTTGAGAAACGAATATTTTCGCGGGAAATATTGATTTCTCAACTGAGATACTTGATTTAAATATGGATTGTATCTCAGTTGAGACGTTACGAAAAAATCTGATATTTGTTATCTTCTACTGGACAACTACTAATTTAAAACTCTTGATTTTATGTACGCTTCTATCAAAACTGTATGATCAAGTTTTTTTCTTTTTGAGCTCTCTAAATTAATAACAACAATAATTCCAAACTACATCAAAATTCTCTAACGCAGAAGTTTTTAAGCTATCCTTTTTAACTTAAAATTCGAACAAGATTTTAGGGATCGTCGTGGGACGAAAATTTCCTCCTACAGAAAAATATTTTTTTCTTGTGTCGTTCCGTCCTGCGAACGTTCGGAAAATTTTCATCCCGTCTTATTCAAAAATTTTCGTCTCATCAGATCCCAGAGAGTCTCATTAAAATGTTTGTTTTCAGAAACTACTTCTTGTTAAGCAAAGTTTCTGTGGCAGTTGTTTTTCTAGTTTCGACGTATGAAACTGTAAAGATCTGCTATTGCACATTACATTGTTCTCTCTCTCTCTCTCTCTACCTCAAAGTTCGTTTTCATTTCATTTTTCCTAAATCTGTGTTTTAAACCAACTAAAATTACAACGAACGTGATGTGGTGAACTCCGTATCGACTGCGGAACGCCTCTAGCAGATTCAGATCGGATACAGTCTGTCGACATTGTAACTTTTGCTCAGTGCAATTGCTTTTCAGTATTACATTTATAAATTACAAGATTTTCGTTGTAAAAAAAATAAGCTACCCATTAACAAAATAAAGTGAAAAACCAACAAATGATATCTGTCATTTTGAACTATTTATCTTTTCAACTAATCATAGAAATAGAATATAGATTACTACGTAGAGACAAGAAAAGAAAATATCGTGCACTAAAAGAATGAGACGAGGTTACGAACCAGGTTATGTGACTAACCGCGTGAAATATAACAAGCCAGGTGATCGGCACATGACAACTCGAGCTTAGTTCATAAATGAATCTAAAAAATTCAACAATACAACAGACTGATTTCCCATGGGATGAAATTTTTATCTTGACAATTTGATATGATTATTCAAGTCCGAAGTTAAACAATAAAGTAAACGTCTTATTTTATTAAACTTTGAAAGTGGACAGCAATAAATTAAGAATAATCCCTTTCTTATGGTTGTTCTTAATTTCTATATTCATTAATAGAAAAGTATAAACATAATAAACAATTAGAATCTTGAAAGAGAATCAAATTTTATTTGAGAATCAGTCAATAATATAATCCTCTTTAGGCAAATGAAAAAATATCGTAGAGAGCTCAGCAGTAATGGGGTAGCCAAGATTTTGATAGTAGATGGGCGGGCGTTGCCCCAAATTTTTTCAAAGTGGTAAACATTAGTGCAGAGTAATGTGAATTATAATGGGTGGGCGAAACCAATTAGTGAGTGGGCTGAGCCTACCCCAACCTACTCGATGGCTACGCTACTACTCAGCAGACATTCGACTTTGTCTAGAAATATTCTCTAAATAAGAGAACAACTTCAACTTAGAAATCCGATTGTTTTATGAAATCACTCACAATAGAGGGATCAAAATATAGAACTATGCTTTAACATCGAATTTGCTACTGACCTTCAGAACAAATTTTCTCTTAAAATATATCGATACTTTTGATCTTCTTAACTTTCCTAACAGATTTTTTCTTATACAACTGCATTCAACTTTATAGTAAAATATCCACCACCACTGCTCAAAAAACTGTGATACATATGCCGTATGACTCCCAAGAATGAATGATAATAAGTCTTAAAGGATGGAATGATCGAAGACTTGAAAATAGCAGAGAGTGAAGAGTGTGAAAGGATTAAAATCTGAAAAGAGTGGCTAGTTTTATAAATAACATCTTATTAACTTATTGTACTGAAGAAAGATTTATAAGATGGAACTACTATTGATTTCTGTAAAAAAAAGTTGTTGATCAAATTCTGGAACTTCATCTTTTAGAGATCGAAAGTTTAATAATTTTTCTTAAATCTTCATGAATGAGTTGTCCTTAGCGTATTGAACAATTTTGAAACACACTGTATGCAGGCAAATCATGACAATAGTTAAAAAAGAAAAAAGAAATTTTAACTAACTGTACACTGTACTAATGTTACTGACAAATAGTATTTCTTTTATGTTTTTTTTTTTCGTTCAAAGATCGATAGATATTCTGAAATAGAAGATACAAATTTTATATTTGAAATAAAATAAAATTAGATTCTTTCAAGTAAGAGAAGAGAGCGTATGTAACATTTAATGTATTTCAATGAACAAGGTCGACTTCCCAACAAACTAAAATAAAACCTGTAAAAAATAAATGAAGAAACAACGACTTTTGATAAGATCATCGATAATGTATTTTGCCTTGTTTAAATATAAAACGTGTTTGAAACAGTGTATACCTTGTTCAATGTATGCTATAAGAAATATTAGACTATTCGCACGCGCATCGTTAACACCGCTCAATTCTTTTGATTTTCATACCCGAAAGGTGATATATATATTAAAATAAAGGACTAAAAAGTGTTACTACTGGTGTTATATAAACAAGGTAATTGACTAGTACAAGAGAATAATGAGAAAAAAGAGAGAAAGAGAGAGTCACTGTTGTATCCTTCAATCTCTCACTTCTGTTTTACTTCTTCTTTTTTTATTGTTATACTATAGTATACGTATATCATTCATCTCACTTTTACGTAGTGTATGCACATCACATTTGACTATATGGTTCATTGATTACAAAGTTTTTTGTCACATATCTTCATTTGTTATAACAAAAAAAAAAAAAAATCATCTTTCAAACAAATATATGGGTGTGTGCGTGTGCATGTATGTGTGTGTGTGTGTGTGTGTGTATCTATCTATTTATGTATGTACAAGTATCATTTTAATGATGAATTTTCTTTCTGCTAATATTTATCACTTAGTGTCATGTCTGGTTTATTTTATAGATAAAAAAATATTGTTTAAAGAAGATTCTCGTTTTTTGATCGTCTTCTTTTTAATTGTTTTTCAATTTGTTCAATTTGTTACATATTGATGATGGCGACTGATCCAATAGAGCAAGATAATAATATTAGAAAAATGACAAACGGTGATGAACAACATGAAGATAAACAACAACAGGATCTAAAATTATCATCATCATTATATGAACAAAAAGATTCATCTCAACATCATAAATTGTCAAAATTCCAACAAAATAATAGTGAAGATGATAATGATTTTCAAATACATGAGGGTGATCAACGATATTTAACAGATTTTCAACAACAAAAAGCAAATTATTTCTTCGAAGTTAATTTAGGTAAGCGTTTTTTTTTTTTTGTGTGAAGAGATTATTTTAAATACATGTTGTTTCAAGACAATTTTGAATTATTCCGAAGAAAAAATTAATTTAGATGACAAACAGATTTGATATTGAATATTTTTCTTTTTTGATTGTCAACATGAAGTATCAGAATCAAGATAGACTGTATTCCATTTGATGTAAATAGTAGAGAAAAAGTGATTGCTTGAATGTTTTTATTATAAGAAAGTTAAAGAAATTAAGTACAGCGTACTTACAATTAATGTGAAGAAAACGTAGCGTATACGCTACGTTTTCTTCACATTAATTGTATTGACAAAAATTTATCTTTAAAAAGTGAATATTTCTATAAAGTTTATTATGCAAAGTCTGCTATTATTTACAGATGTGTAAGGTTATTAAAACAGAAACCGGATCGTTCGAGACCATTCTGTTTGAAGCCTGTATACAAGTATCAATTGAAAAAAGAATATTTACTCCCAAGAATGAGAACTCGCCTAGTTCCGTATAGAATTTGTCCAAAGTATTGTGATCTTGGCAAAAAGTAGCAGACTGTTTAGTCGAATAGACATTAAAGTTGCAAGAATGATGAAATTTTAATAGAAAGTTAGTGTTTTAGACGTGTAAAACGTTTTTTCAAGTTTGAATAAGAATCAAATACTCTAAGTGGATTATATCAAGTTGAATCAATTCACTTTTTGTCTACGATAACAGATCCTGATATAAGTTTTCTTACCCTAAAAAGGTCAAATTCAAAATTAAATTATTCTTAGGTAAAATGTGCATCTAGTTTACATTAAATTATGTTGAAGGATTGTCATTTGTCATCAAAACAGGAGTCAATCAAATTTTATTAAATAGCATATAAAAAATTACAATTTTACACAACATTCACAGGTTATATCTCAAATTTCAAAGAGAATAATTTATTAAGTTATTCAGTTTGAAATATCTAATAGATTCTTCATTTACCATCAGAAAATACAATTTATTAAATAATTTAGCAAAATCAATTAGTCAACATTTAACTTTTATTTCGTAGGGAGGTACAAATACTTTCTTCTTTTTTTTTTCTGTCCTTCTAGAATAATTAAAATGAGTAAGTTTGTATATTTTAATAATTAAAAAGAAATATATCTCGAGTTCTTATTGTTCGTAAAAGAAACATTTTAAACATATGACAGAAACACAGACACCTGTTACCAATCTTCTATCTCAATGTTCAATTTCTATTTTCATTGAGATTGAAGTAACAGGAAAATGATCAACTTTTAACTAGAGGCATACGTGATTGTAAAATATATGATATTTTATACATTTCATATCGGAACATAAACATGATTATAAAAATTTATATTATGAATGAAAATGACCTGTGTGCATATGTCTACATATAAACATATCATATCTAATCAATGTTTACAAATCAAATTGACCGATAGTCATCTTTAATCGATAACGTTGTCTTTTTTTTTCTGCATTGTTAATTTAGAACAATGGAGTGAAAATAGTAACAATTTTTTTTTTTTTCTCTTAGGTTAATACAACTCTGAATAAAGCAAAAAATGCTAAAATTTTCTAATCGATTTTTTTTTTCAAATGGTTTGAATTTTTTTTGTTTTTTCAGACTTTACGTAATTGATCCTAAGAATGTTATATTTGACCTTTAAGGGTGCCCCCTCCCTCTCAGAAATACGAAATTTTTGTAAAACAAAGTCAATATTGAGCTAAGCACATTATTAGATAGTCCAAGATGCCTGCTGTCAGAATACACGATAGTAAGACCTTCATCAAAGGTTTCTGCAAGTTTTTCAGGTAGTTTCTCGAAAGCACTGAGATACTAACTTTTCCACTATTCGTGTATAAAAAATCGAGAGAAAAGTAGCTCTAACGCATCTAGGTCAGAGCTGAACAAGTCAAATCATTTTTAACTTGGCTTGATTTGGGAAATTTTTGATGACTTATGACTTGACTTGACCTGAAAATTTTTTTAAAAGACTTGACTTGACTTGTGACTTGGCATAAAAAATCAAGTCAAATCATGCTTACTTAAACCGCTTATACAATATAATTTTAAATAATAATTTACAATGATTTGGGAATGTTAATGTTATAATATGTAAATAAGAATTTACGCACAGTAACAAGACGCGCATTTTGCAATAGCATAGAAAGTCTGTGTTCTAATATCAAGAAATGGAGACTCTTTTATGCCATTTTCTACGGAAAAAAAAAATTTCAAGTCATGACTTGTGACTTGACTTGGTAAACCCGTGACTTGCCCAGTTCTGATCTAGATTGTGGAGAGAGCATTTCTGATCAAAATGAAACGTCTCCAATCAAAATAAACGAAGCATAAAAAATAATTACTTTTCTTTTTTTCGCATAATTAATTGTTCCAATCAAAAGTTATAACTATTTTAAATAGAAGCCCTGAAGTATACATCGTACTCTACCATCACTTTATGTCAAAAGTGAACTTCACATAAAACTGATATAATGTAATCCATCGGACCGCAATTTCCACTTGTTTAGGATCTTCTTTCACTCTCAAATAAAGTTTTATACCAACTGCTCATGCACACGACAGGATTTTTCCGTAACGGAGCAACTTAAAAGAGCTTGGATTCATCCTAAAATGAAGCTAATACACGTGGCTAGAGGCTAAAAGAGTCCGATATTTAATATTCAGTCTAAATTTGTGGTTAGAAAAGCATCGCTATGCAAGTTGATGAGACTTTCTCTAATTTTGGGCTTTTGACGCTGACCATGGTTTTGAAAAGAAAATATCAAAAATCGGACTCTATTAGTCTCTAGACACTTGTATTTTCGCCATTCTGAAACCCTCCCGAGCTCTTCATGATACTTCGTTACTGAGAAATGTTGCAGCTACAAGCAGTCCCGTTTTGATTCACAATTGAGCTACATCTCTGAAACGGTGGTAGATGATTTTGTCAAAATTTTGTGAAAAAAGTACAATCATAAAGTGAACAGTTTCTGAAAGCTTGGTCCAGGTTGGGCTTTTAGTTATCGAAATACATTTCTGACGAGGTGGGTCAATGAGCTTTAAGGAGGAAGAGATAAAATTTGTTTTAAGTATACCGAAATATAAAGTAAACATTTTCCTATAAATAATTGATCGTAGGACTGTAAGTATTCTTTTATTCTCATTCAGTATTTATTCAAATATTGTATTTCACGGAGACAGGGCTACACTCTGACAAAAGAATCTGTCATTATGAATTAAATAGAGAAAAGTCACTTTTAAACAGTTCGGTTTTGAGCGCTGATATTTCCTCGGTATGTTTAAATTTGATTCTGCTAATCTATATAGTTGCAAAAATATTTCATCTTTTAAATTAACTATCTCCATAAATTTTCCTCGGTCATACTGACACTTCTCCGAGCTGTAAAATTCAATAATTATACACACACATTGTGGATTTATTAACGATTTCTTACTTCAACATTAAAAAGTTCTATCTTCAAAAATTAGATCGATTTTATTTTTAAAAATCATTAATTCTATGCAATTTTATTTAGAATTTTTCAGTAGCCAAAAAGTAAAACAGAACATTTGAGACAAAAGAAAGGACTTTTTTTCTCAATCTCTCTCCAAACTAACGATACCGACGTCGGTATTTTTAAAAACTTAAACGCTGTTAGTAACTATCAGTGCTGTTAGCAAGAGAGTATATTAGCCAAAAATGTATATAAAAACAGTTTTATTTTAAACAGGTTAATGATTTCTTTGAAAAAAACAGTGAATAGATAATGGTCATAGTTTTGTCAGATAGCACATTCCTCTATGAAATCGATTTCGGCTACACTCTAAAAAATAGTCGTAGATTAATAAACTATCAAACAGGGTTTAATGAGATCAACAAACTTTTTAAAAAACGCTTTTCCGTTTTTTATTTCTAAAAAACTAAAAAGCATTTGCGACAGATGCAAAATGAAAAACGGGCGATTTTTTATCAAAAATAAAAAACCCTTTTCAGATTTTTGTCGAGACTAAAATACGAGTTCATATTGTCTTTTTAGCGATTTTCATCCATGTTATTTTAAGACGCTTGTTCTTGTAAGCCGTTCTTCTGGCTCATCTCTATAATTGACGGTAAAGTCATTCATCTCGTTTGTGTTGTGTTTGCCATTCGTCTATTGAGAACAATGATCTTATCGAAAATACTTACCAGTTTTGATTCCTTGCTAAAACCGTTGATATGGTCAGCACTTGAGGTGCTATTATCATCCTCCAGCTGGAATACCCTTCAACTACTAATAATGAAAATAAGGTGTAAAATAGCTTATGTTATAAGATGATATAAGAATAGGACGGTATAAGTCAATTGCGAAATAATCAGGTTGGTTTATCCTATTAAAAGAGTTTTTGATCTATCTTATGACCTTCCATCTGATGTTAACACGAATTGACCCGACTATTTCGCAATCGACTTATGGCGTTTATTTTAACACGAATTTTTTTAGAGCGGAAGACTTGCTGAGGCGTTTCGTACGTATAGATAGCTGACACCTTATTATTATATAAAGGAGACATGTACCATGTGTTTCTAGTAACTCAAAATTGTATCTTGTTACACTTTAAAGATTTATGACAAAGTTTGAAAAAAGATATAGATCAGCCTCCTGACATTCCTAAGCATACACCGAACATTTTTTACACTGTGACACTACAAAATAGTGGATATGTGATTCCTTATCGAGAGCTACACAACAGCCAGAAAATACTCCAATCTAAACTGGCACCCGATCTATTCGATTTCTAGCAAATAGTATTTTGTTTTGTTCTGCCATTTGATGTCGCATCACAGAACCCGTGACATCTCAGTTTGTAGCAGGGACTGCAATGGAACTCTACACATTTAAAAAAAAGAACACGTAGCCTTAAAACTGAAGGTTAATTTTTCAATAGATGTTGAAATGAGTTCAGTACATATCCAGGCATTCCTAATTAATCCTAATGCAATTTGGCTAAAGACCTGTTAAATAGCATTTACTCAACAGTTTTTATTTCAAATTAATTTTTTATTTAGACATTGAAAACAAGAAACATTTGACATGGGAAGATGTTGAATTTTATCTATTAGTAAGTATAATTTTTGTTCATGGACATGTAGATATTTTTTTATTTGTTTATCTGTTTATTCTAGTTTCATTTGACAATTGCTAATAAAGAAGGTTTTGGTGATTTGGAACAAAATTTGTCTCGTAAAACTCGAGAATTATGGGAATTGATTCATGATACTTATCCAAATTCAGATCGACAAGTACTCACTTTATCTCAATTCTTAGACACTTGGGGAGCACTATCAGAATACATTGTTAAACATAATCAAATACCAAAATTGTTTGAAGAATGGTTTAAATTAGGATTTGATCTCTACGATATAGACAGTGAGTATATCGATATATCAATTTTAAATATTAAGAAATATAACAAATGATTGTTTTTAATCTAGAAAATAATGAAATTCCAGCTGCATCATTTCATAAATTGTATAATAAAATGAATTTGGGTTTACCACATGCAGTATTTGCTCATAAGTTTTTGACAGAGGTATGTTCATTTTGCGTATACATAGTATTTCGAGTGTACAATCTATAAATAGTAAAAGAAATTGTAAGAAATTCTAATAACATATAAAACAATCTAGTTGAATAACAATAATAATTTTAAAATAACATTATGGGTTTTTTTCTTCATCTAACTTACTTTCATCAGTAAAACTCACCACACATAATATTAATATATAGCTTTTTAGGTCTATCCATAATAAAAATGTAAAAAACAATTTATACACATGATGAAAAGCCCAGATCTCAGTCTTTTGACTCAGATACACTCGTCTCCATAGGAACTCCTGTTGCTTCAATCGGCTTTTAGTGTCCCTGGGGGATGCCTTTCTGTCCTTGAGTGGTTCTATGATCCTTTTGAGGTAGAAGGAAAAAAAAGGAAAAAACATGTCTGAGATGGAGTTTCAAAGATCGTCGTCATTCATCTCGAGAATAAAATTGAATTTGGAAAATCGATCTTGGTCATTTCGTACACTCAATCTTGAGATAAACTACACAAACGTAATTTTCCTCACTATTATTTCATTTGTTTCTATATTTTTTCAACTTTAGAATGGTACGAAGCCATTGGATTTTGAACGTATATTATGTACAATAAAAGCGTTAATAACATCATCCGATGACGAACATTATAGTCACTTTTTACTACCCGGATTTTTTAAAAAAGTCAAATCATCGAACGCTCAAAATGGTACGATTATCTTCTACACTTGTCTAAAGTATATAACATTCTTTTATTTTAGATAAAAAATCAGACAACACTGAGAATCAAAATGGTGAACAAAAATCATCAAAAGAGTCGTCAAGTCAACCAGATAGTGAGCGAAAATCAAATAGAAAATATCCTCATCAAACTGGCCGAAGCCCATTTCCAGGTCAACAAAATTTTCCATTTTTTATTAATCCCATGTTTGGTGGACCAGCCGGTTTCATGCCTCAAGGTTTTCCTCAACAACGACAACATTATAGCGGCATGGCAACTCCACCACAGAAAGCACAAACAAGAAAAGAAAGTCAACATGAGACTCAAAAAAATCAACGTCAAGATATTCCTCAATATCCAACTCAGCAAAATAATGGAAATGGATTTTCTGGTGTTGATAATATTCAAAATCGTACTCCCACCAATCGCGATCCTATTGCAGATGACGATGAATATATCCGAAATGTTTTACGTGAACTGCACATCGACATCAGTGAAGTTGAAATTATCGATGGAAACAATCAACGACGAATTTTGTTGGATAAAAATTTTGCAAACAATCAAGAAGGATTATACCAACAACCATCAAATGTTTATCCAAATCAACAACAAGTACCACCAATACCACAGCAAAAACAAAATTATCCTTCACCTAACAGATATCAGCAGCAGAACCAATCATCCACAGGTATTGTTACATTGATCTGAGCCACAGAGTTGTAAATACAGTTTCAATATAGGGATTTCGATCAATTAGTGGAATAATCTTTCTATGCAAAAAAACATATCCAATTCTCTTGCCAATTACTTTATATTTTATTATCTCTATTAGGTTATCTGTATTAGTAGTCTACTTATCTGGATTCTGATTAACATTTTGACAGCGTTTGGTTAAAGGACCAAATTTACAATTAATTAATCTTTTCAAAAGAAACTTACCAGGATATTTCGATCTTTTTTCCTCAGGAAATGACCAACTAAAACAGGATGGTGTTAACCATGTCCATCAACATCGCGATCAAAAACATTCGTCAAAAACTCGACGAAAATCAAAAGACTCGTCGAAAAGCCAACAGCAAGGTCCACCAAAACCACGCATGTTTCCCGCTCAACAAGAACCATCACCAATTAATGGTAATGTCCAGCAGCCCTTTTCTTACTTAGCGCATGGCCAACCGCGACCATATCAAGGTCACCCTCAACAACGCTTTCCCTCAGAGCAGCAACGGTCATCAGGAATTCGTCAAGTTTATCCTTCTTTTCAACAACAACAAAGACCACCGGGACTAGAGGACGTTTTGCAAAATCAATACCAGACAAATATCCGTCAACAATTTCCCTATCAACATCAAGAACAAAACCGATATCCAAGAGGCCAGAAAACAGAAATGTTCCCAAAACGTGTAAGTTGTATTGAATTGTCACGAAAAAATTTGGCCAATTAGGAAAAATATTCAAAATAAGCATAGATAAAGGAAAAGTACAAAAAAGAACTTCTCATGAAAGAGAAACTAACAGTAAACTATTTTTTGTCATTTGTAGGCAGCAACTAACGATACATCTTCAAATCAGACTGATCGTATCCCCAATAACAGTAGTCAATGGCAACAATCTTCTACGACCTCTACGAAAGATCAACATCAACCAACTGTTAAAAATATACAACAGCAAGAAAATGATAAATCAAGTCCAACAGCTTCAATTAATCTGTCCACTGAGGATGCGACCAATACTCAACAGCCAGCAGGCTCTACATTATCGAAAAAAGATGATGATAACAAAAAATCAAACAAATTGCCTACAGGCGAAGACGAGGATGAATGGGTCAATAAAGTTCTTCGACGAGTAACACCCATCATCGAAAAAATAGTTCGTGAGGAAGTGAGAAAAACGATTGTGAGGGGAAACAATGAAGGTGCATCAACAGATAGTGATGATGAAGAGATAATGATTGGTGGCGGAGGACCGTTCTTTGATGCAAATCCGTTTCAATTTTTGTTTGGTGGAGGAGGACCATTCATGGGTCCAAGAGGTGGAGGCAGAGGAATGTTTTCATCACACGGAGCTCCTAGAGAATATCGCTCATCTCAGGATGAGGATCGAAACTCACCAACATGGCAAAAACAACAACAATCGAGACGGGAACATAATGGCTCGAAAGGGTTTCCACCTGGAAATCCTTATCCAAATGGTGAAGAATCTCAAAATGGATCACAACATGAGGGAGAGCCGACACTAAACAGTAACGTAAGTGATACATTTTATACCGCAATGCTTTCTTATTTGTAGTGAACATTCGTAAAGAACTACAGTAAATCAATTACACTTCCATGTTCACTCTCTATCGGTTCTTATTAAGGGCCGTGATGATATGAGTGAATCAATGTTCTATTCAGGAGGGCCATTTGGAATGAGAAATTCGCCATTCATGCCACCTGTATTCATGTCAATGATGGGTGCACCGATGTTTGGTGGGCCGGGAATGGGAGGGATTCCACCAGGAATTAGACCTCACGGACAAGGAATGGGAGCTGGACCAAGTGGAGAGGGTACTTTGTTCTCTACCGTAACTTTGTAGTTGATTTTTATTTTAAACTCATTCTAGGTTACATTTTGATTATGGGTGATGACGATAACAATGCTAAACCAGGTCGACATCAAAGACCACCACCGTCAGCTCAATAATTAATCTTTTTGCTTTGTTATACTGCACTTTAATGTATTGTCGTTTTGTCCTTGCTTTAGTATCAAATACTGGATTTTTCTTTTAGTAGTGTTTTTCTCCTAATACAACTGGAATTAAACAAGAGAACATTGGTCATTCGCATATTCAAGAAAAACAACTTTGTTAGGGCAGCCTCTTGTGGGGCTAAAATTATTAAACTGCTTTACATTAGCCGAAAGATGGTACTGGGAATAGTGTATACTAATATAGAGGAGCAACGAAAATTGCAGCTATCTTCTAAGATAAATATACTACCCTTTCAAGACGGATACACCACTCGGTTAAGACGAATACACCTGAATACGATGATTACACTATCCTATGGAGATCAATACACTGCCAGATTAAGATGAATACATCCACCAGTGTAAGATGAATACACCCGATGGAGGGTAGGTTGAAAAATAGGGCAAAATCAAGGCTTTTTGCGTATATAGCTTCAACTTCTCCTTTGGAGATACTAAAAGAGTTTCACAAAAATCTATCAAATAAATGTTTGACTTTCAGCTCGCATGAAAAACAAG